AGACTTTTTTAAAACCCTTATCACTCATGGATATTTTGATTTTTGTTCTATGAGTATGACTTTATATATATATTATATATATTATATATTATATATATATATATATATATATTAAATTTATAATTAAAATTAAATAACAATAATTATTATAAATAAATAATAATTTATATATATGAACAATAGAAATATAAATTTCGAGACGGAGAAAGCGGGAATAGAAATCGTGCAATATGAATCAAAATTGCACTAATATAGCCATGAAAATATAGGTGTTAAATCTACATTATTATGTATTATTTATGCAATTATACTATAATATATATTATATATATTTATATATATATATATATATATATATTATATATATATATATACTTATTATGGCAATGGGATTGGTTATCCGCCATAGGCTGGTGTCAATCATCTCTTTAAGGAGCTTTTGTGTGTGGGTGTAAGTGCCCACAGATATGGCTGGTGTGCTGGAGATCGCCGGGGAGAGCCGGGTCGGCTCACTCGTCGGCTAAGGCTTGGATAGGCCTAGTTGCTGTGTCTTGCTCGGCTGGAGGATCGCGAGTGCTGAACTCGGCCCGGGTGCGATAGCTTTAATGGGCTGAGCTGTGTGCTAAGATAGCGAGCGAAGCCTGTGGTCCAATAGGCGAGCCGTGAGGTCTCCGTGGTCAACCAAATTCAGGTCTCGGTATGCGTCGTCGAGAAGCTGCTGATGGTGAGGGCGAGAGGACAGGCTGTGACCTGGACCAACCTGGGGAAAGTATGCTGCGCTGCAGTTGCGGGGTCGCTACAGTATCATATATACACATACATGTATATCATATACACATACATATATATCGTAAATACATACATATATATCATACGCACACACACAAACACACAAAACAATAACACACGCATATATTTATATATATATATATATTATATATATATATATATATATATATATATATATATATATGTGTGTGTGTGTGTGTGTGTGTGTGTGTGTGTGTGTGTGTGTGTGTGTGTGTGTGTTGTGTGTGTGTGTTTAGATATATCTTGTAGGAATATGTAAATAATCAATTCATCTCTTGGTATTTGTTGCTTCATTATGACTGGTTATTACTCGGTACATTGCCATACTTTCGGTAGGAATATGCAAATTAAGTCCCAAAGTTCCCATTAACAAGACTTTATTTGAAAAATCTCCTGATCCCACTATCTTCCGGGAGTTACTTCTGGGCTGGGTGTCCAAAGGAGTTTTCTTTTACGGCCTACTAGTACTAGTGCTAGTAAAAGGCCCTTCACTAGTAGTACCATTACTGGGAGCAAATGGTAGTTTTGATGGAGCTAACCTTGACGTGTGTGAATAAAGGCAATGATTATATGAAGTATGGAAGATATGACGTATTGTGTTATGATTTGGAGAATATTTTCACAAATATTGATTTTATAGTATAAAAACAGTTAAATGAAAAATCATTTTGAAATTATTTTATCATGGGTATCTACTTCAAACAGTACAAAACATTGTATAAAAGGAAGGACTTACATGATCACAGGGTTGACTCTTATGGTGTTCATAAAAGTCAGCGACTAAGACGATAACGAGGTTAACGATCCCAACCACGGCCGGTGCGGCGGAAGCTAGGACGCCAGTCTTGAATGATTAGAGGCGTTAACAAACGAAAGGAAGTCATGATACACAAACACACACACGCATGTTTATACACATATTCATATATATTTATATATAAATATATATAAATACACACACATAACATACATACACACACACACACACACACACACACACACACACACACACACACACACACATATATATATATATATATATATATATATATATATATATATATATATTATATATATACATACATATATATGTATCAATAACACATACAAGCACCAATTCACATACACGCCCATATATATACATATATGTGTGTGTATGTATGTACACACATTCACACGCACGCCCATAAATATATGCATGAATATATATGTATATATATACATTAATATGCAAATATATATGATTGTATATATACATATATATGTATGTATGCATGTATGTATATATGCATATATATATTTGTATATATATGTATATACATACATATACGTACCTATATATATCTATATATACATATATATACAAATATATATACATACATATACATAAATGGAAAGGCTGGGAGGAGGGGAAAAATCGCTCCCACCCAGCAAGTGAGGCAGACTGTGGGCCCTGCTGGGGGGGCGACTGCTGGAGCGCAGGTTGGGAACGGGAACTACTCGTCTCGCCTGCGCTTTAGCAGCCGCCAGCCCAGAGGGAAGCTTGTGGGGGAAAGCCCTCAGGAACCCCACAGGTGAATGATGGAGGCCTGCAGCCCGCCACCCCCTTTTATGTGGGACACCGTCGGCGGGGGTGGCAGAGGTGGCATCCACTCGGAGTAACTTGAATCTCAGGCGGAAGTGGGGGGCTTGGAACGTCAGTTCTTTGCATCAGGATAATCGGTTGCCTCTGCTGTTGAGGGAACTGGGGAGGTTAAGAGTTGAGGTGGCTGCTCTCTCAAAGGTGAGGAGACCTGGCAGCGGCATGACCAGTGTAGGTGGCTACACCTATTACTGGTCGGGCCACAGCGACAGTCATCACCTCCAGGGAGTAGCCATTGCCATCTCCAGCAGACTCCAGCCCTCGGTAGTAGAGGTTACTCCTGCTGATGAGCGTATAATGGTATTGAGACTGAAGCTATCTTTTGGCTTCATGTCTCTTATTGCTGTGTACGCTCATACCGAAGTTTGTAAACTTGACGTGAAAAAGATGTTCTATGCCAAACTTGCATCTGTGACAGACAGATATCCCTGTCGAGATATTTGCATTGTTCTAGGTGACTTCAATGCGGTATCTGGTTGTGATCGAGCTGGCTATGAGATGTCTGTCGGTCCCCATGGCTCAGGAGCTGATGCCAGTAGTGAGAATAGCCTCCTTTTCTGGGACTTTGCTAAGTCCCAGAAATTGAGGATTTCTGGCTCCTGGTACCAACACCCAGACCCACATCGTTGGACACGGTACAGTGATGCGGGTAATGCAACCAAGGAGATCGACCACATACTCGTTAGCACTTGTTGGAGGATCCTCCAGAATTGCAGGGTGTACAGGAGTGCTGAGTTCTGTGATACTGACCACGGTCAAATGATCACCCTAGGGTGTTTCATTTGGACAGGCTGAGGGAGGGGGAGTGTGCCCGTGGGTTTGCTGAGGCAATCTCTGGTCGTTTCACAAGGTTTGACAGTCTGACAGACCCTGTTCTCCTGTGGGATACCTTTAAGCATGAAACGTTTGATGCAGCTCAAGATACGATTGGTGTACGCACAAGAGCAATACAGAATTTCATCTTGCAGGAGACACTGGAAGCCATAGATGCTTGTCATGCGGCTCGTCTGACAGGGGATCAGGAATTGCACCGGTCTTATGTGCACAGAACTAGGTCTCTGTTAAGAAGGGACAAGGAACAGTTTATTAGGAGTCTTGCAGAGGAGGTAGAAGGCCATTTCTTAGTAAATGATTTTCGTCCTGCATACCAAGCCCAGAGAAAGCTGAACTCCAAGCCCTCTTCACAGGTGACAGGAGCTCGCTCAGTAAGTGGTCAGATCGTTTCAGATCCTGTTGCGGTGCAGGAACGCTGGGCTGAGTATTTTGAGCAGTTGTACCAGGTTGATCCACCAGCAGTTAACTTACATGCGCGGAGTGCCGAGACTCCGTTGCCAGACCCACCCATCAGTTAGGATTCTCCTTCCCTAACTGAAGTTAGGGGGGCGATCTCCAAGCTGAAGAGTGATAAAGCAGCAGGTATCTGCGGCATACCAGCTGAACTGTTAAAGGCTGTTGGTGAACCTATGGCATGGGGGTTACATGCTGTCCTGGCTGCCATATGGTGGTCCG